CAGGGGCGAGCAGACCACCATTTAAGCCTCAGTACACAGCTCCAACAAACCCGGCTCCACCTAGACCTGCCATAGGTAACCCCCCACCGAACCCAGCAAACACACCGCGACCTCCTGCAGTGTGTCACTACTGCAAGCAACCAGGACATTACAAGCATCAGTGCCCTCGCTTAAACCGGGGAAGCTGGGAACGGCCAGCCCCACAACAACCCAGGGCAGCTGCTCACTGTGTGCAACAGGAACACACAGGCCCTGCCCTTAACCACGAAGAACAGTGGAGTGTATTACATGAGGTCAATCCAGTACAAGCTGGGGGGGACAACCGGGACCACCACCGCCAATGGATTACCGTCGATGGCGTGGGGGCCCGGGCGCTGAGAGACTCTGGGGCTACTTTGACTGTGGTACAGCCCCACACGGTCAGAGCACAAGCTCGCACCGGACGCACAGTCGCTGTAAGGGTGGCTGGGGGCGCTATTCACAAACTGCCCACCGCTAATATGTTTGTTGATTGGGGTTCCGGGTCTAAACAACTGGAGGTGGGGATTATGCAAGAACTGCCCGCCGAGGTTTTGTTGGGAAATGATGTGGGATGCCTAACCTCCCAACTAGCCCGAGACCCCCCTGCCGAGGCCTACCCGGTTACCACCCGAGCTCAAGCCAGACTGGAAGCTCCGCTGCACTCTGAGGAGAACCAGGTAAGAGTCGAAATACCCCCTTTACCCGATCCCCCCGTACCCTTCTGGGATACCCCCCAGGGGTTTGAACAGGAACAGCGTACTGACCCCACATTAGAAGGCTATAGGAAGGCCGCGGCCGCTACCCCCGAGAACAACCCGCACGAAAAATTTGAGTGGTATAAGGGGTTGCTATATAGGGTAACCGAGGGGGTGGGACAGGGGGCTACCCAGGTCATAAAAAGACAGTTAGTTGTGCCCCGTAAATTTCGGGCTGAGTTGTTAAAACTCAGTCATGACATTCCCCTAGCAGGACATTTAGGGGTCAAAAAGACCAGAGACAGGTTAACTCAAACCTTCTTCTGGCCCAGAGCTACCCAGGACCTAAAGTACTATTGTAGGACATGTGATGTATGCCAAAGGGTAGGGAAAAGGGGAGACCTTCGGAAGGCTAAGCTTCACCCCCTACCCATCATCGAACAGCCCTTCCACCGAGTAGCGGTGGATTTAATAGGTCCCCTCAGTCGCCCCAGTCCGTCGGGCAAAAAGTTTATCCTAACGGTGGTTGACTACGCCACTAGATACCCGGAGGCAGTCGCCCTCACCAATATAGAGGCCGAGACCGTGGCAGAGGCCCTTATTCAGATATTCACCCGAGTAGGTTTCCCGCAGGAGATACTCTCCGATCGGGGGACGCAGTTCACAGCTACCCTGACGCAACAACTGTGGCAGAGCTGTGGAGTGCAACCCCTGTTCAGCGCCCCGTATCATCCCCAGACTAACGGGCTCTGTGAACGTTTCAATGGCACTCTAAAACAGATGCTAAAAACTTTTACAGAGTCCCACAAGAATTGGGAAAAATTCCTTCCCCACCTTCTGTTTGCCTACCGTGAGGTGCCCCAGGCCTCCACTGGGTTTTCCCCCTTCGAACTCCTGTACGGGAGAAAAGTTCGGGGCCCACTGGAGCTCGTACGGGAACACTGGGAGGGCAATACAGATGAGGGGGGAGTCCCTATCGTCCAGTATGTCCTGGAGTTCCGGGACCGTCTGCGGGCCCTCACCGAATCGGTTCGGGAGAACCTGCAGGCGGCCCAGGAGGACCAGAAAAAGTGGTACGATAGGAGGGCCCAGGATAGAGTGCTGGACTTAGGGCAGAAGGTACTGGCTCTGAGGCCCGTTAAAAAGGACAAGCTGCAAGCAGCCTGGCAGGGACCCTTTAAGGTAGTGGAACAGGTTAGCGAGACTACCTACATCGTGAGCAAATGCTCAGATGAAAGGCTGACCAAAGCCTTCCATGTGAACATGCTCAAACCATATTTTGAAAGGACAGAGGAGGTGGGCGCCGTGTGCGCCCCCGCCACAGAGGATAGTGAAGGGCTTCCCCTGCCTGACTTACTGGAGACCACCCCCTGTACTATTGACCAAGTAAGCTTGGGGCAAAATTTAGACCTCCTGGAGAAAGGTGAGGCTACCCATCTGCTGCAGGGATACCGAGAGATGTTTTCCGCTACCCCCGGCTATACCTCCGCTGCGGTACACCGTGTGGAAACCCAGGGAGAGACGCCCCTACGGCAACAGCCATATCGGATCCCGGAAGCAGTACGTGAGAGTATGCTCACCGAGTTAAGGGATATGTTACGGCTAGGGGTAATAGAACCCTCCCAAAGTCCTTGGGCCTCCCCGGTGGTACTAGTACCGAAGCGCGATGGCACTACGCGCTTCTGTGTAGATTACCGGAGGCTTAACGACCGTACCATAACCGATGCCTACCCCATGCCTAGAATAGATGAGCTCTTAGATCGTATGGCGGGGGGGAACTACTTGACTACCCTGGACCTGTGCAAGGGTTATTGGCAGATCCCCCTGGAGCCTGCGGCCATCCCCAAGTCGGCGTTCGTCACCCCGTTTGGGCTATACCAATTCAAGGTTATGCCCTTTGGGATGAAGAACGCCCCGGCTACGTTTCAGCGGATGGCGGATAGGCTCCTGGAGGGGTTGCAGGACTTCGCATGTGCGTATCTAGATGATATTGCCATCTATAGCCGCACATGGGGAGACCATCTGGGTCATGTGTCCAGGGTACTCGAACGAATCCACCTCGCCGGGCTCACTTTGAAACCCGACAAGTGTCACGTAGGCCTAGCCGAGGTCCAGTATCTAGGCCACCGTGTCGGCTCCGGTAGACAACGCCCAGAGCCCGCTAAGGTAGAAGCCATAGCTAACTGGCCCCAACCTCGGACCAAAACCCAGGTACTGGCTTTCTTAGGGACGGCCGGGTATTATAGGAAGTTCGTCCCAGAATATAGTGCCCTGGCCAAGCCCCTCACGGACCTTACCAAAAAGGCCCTTCCCAAACAGGTCTCCTGGACCCCAGAGTGCACGGACGCTTTCCAGAAGCTCAAAACGGCCTTGAGTGAGGCCCCTGTGTTGGCAGCACCCGATTACACTAAACAATTTCTTGTCCACACAGATGCCTCCATGTTTGGGCTGGGAGCCGTGCTAAGCCAGGTGGGGGCGGATGGCATGGAACACCCGGTGGCATACCTCAGCCGTAAACTTTTGCCCCGAGAAGTCAGCTATGCCACCGTAGAAAAAGAGTGCTTGGCCCTCGTGTGGGCCCTCAAGAAACTTCAGCCCTATCTGTATGGGCGAGCGTTTACCCTTATGACCGACCACAACCCCCTGGTATGGCTCAACCGGGTAGCTGGTGACAACCCCAGGCTACTCCGGTGGAGCCTAGCTCTCCAACCATACAATTTTACCATGCAGTACCGTCCGGGTAAACAAAATGGGAATGCGGATGGACTGTCCCGCCAGACCGAACTGGACACCTAAAAACATACTTTCATCGGACATCCCCAAGCCAACCCGACAGGGTCTAGGCGGGTATGCCGACCTATGGACTTATAGGGGAGCAGTGTGAAGAAATGACTCCGTTCATCAGGATTTCTACCTTTGTTGCACAAGTTAATTCACCCAATTCAGCTGGAATTCGGCATATAGCTATAATTTCTACCCTTCGGATGGATTCAGGCGAATTCCCCGTGTAAACTCTAGGTGGCCGCCATTTCGGCACTTTACACGTGGTCGCGGCCATTTTACGTGCGAACAGCGGTGTTTGCCCGTCAAACGCGTGGAACTAAAATCGGATACGCAAACAGGCGAACACCGCTGAGACCTCCATACATCCAGAACTTCGCACGGAAAAACCGAATCACCGGCCGTTCGGTAGTTACATGCAACTTCGTATGGGGATTTCAACGACCACGAAGATGCGAACGGATGGCAGGACTTTCGTCTTTTTTATTCGCCTAAACGGAGACCGACCGCAGGGCCAAAACTTATGGAACTATTTTCGGCTAGATGATCCGTGCGGTCGGTCAAAACTTTAGTGCTCCATAACTCCCGAACCATTCATCCGAATGGACTGATTTTTTGACATATTGTCCCCACAAGTGAGCACTATCCAGCGGTGCCCAATTTAAAGGTGTACCCCCTGTTTTTGGGGTACATCCAGAACTGGGGTAAAATAGTGCACGTTTTAATGAAGTTAACTGTTTATCAGAGGGGAGGGAGGTAGGGGCTGTAACCTGTACCTGATTGGTGATTTAATGCCTCCCCCTGGGTGTGTATTTTTTGTCTGTAACCCTAATAAAAAGCAGGCTGGAGATTCCAGACCTCAGATCTACTTGTATCCTGATTCTGGACTCTGACTGTTATTTGGGAATTCGTATGCTTTACCAAGGGGATTATCTTGGGAAGCTGTTATATTTCTTATGGACTTCATTGCTTGGATCTACCCTAGACGCTGGCATTGCAGGAGGAATTATCAAAGCGGTTCAGCTATACTTGATTTCCTTACAAGCATGTACCAAGAGCTAACAAATTCTATAGTGAAGAAGGGGCAGTAGTTAGAAGTTATATTGCTCAGAAACTTCAAAACTGCTCCATGCTAATCTTCCAATACATAGCTACAGGCTTTTACACTGCAGAAACAATTCTTGAAATATTTAGCTACATCATCCCGGCCTTAATATAGGTGACAGGAATTAGGCTACTTCATTCTGTCATAATGACATTAAAACTCTCAAATAAAGAAACCAGATCCAGAACACTATTGCAAAGAAGAGGAAAGTAAGAGTTCTCCCATCTTCTTCCTAACTCACTTCTTTTACAGCGGAGGGGGAAATCATTTTGCTAAATATATGCCAAACTCCCAGACCTGTTTTTTCTAATGTTTTTTGTACAGGTAAGTAAATCAGAAAATAAGTAATTAATAAAAAATGTATTTCCATATATCATTTTAATAGAGAATGTTATCAATGCATATAATATCAAAACTGTAACATTTTCATATAACAGAGTAAACAATTGCTATACGACAATTTACAACTATTTTTCCTAGATTGACAACAAAGCTTTGCTTAAATGTATTATGCTGTTGTCCTCTGGTAATTGTAGCCTTATTAGCTTCATTAAAACATGAGAATACCATAGAAAGATAACAGAGAGGGAGGGGATTACAGAAAAGAAAAAAAAGAGGGGGGAGGGGGGGTTAGGTTCCCATTGATAATGCTAATGCAACAGTTCTTGTGACACATACCCTGCCCTTAAAACCCTAGAGCCTGGCCAGACATTCAAGTCACACAAAAGTGGTGTCCTATAAGTTATTTATTCCTATCAGTTTCCTCATTGTTAGCGTTGCTGTCCTGTGCCTTTCCAATATTTGTGGTCCAGCATTCACAATCTCTCACATACCTACTTACACAACCCTGTGTTTTGTTAACCATTCTCTCGTAATTACTTATCGTATTCAACCTCTGTATGAGAGTATCTAACGAGGGAATCGTCGTGTTCTTCCAGTGGAACGCCAAGTTTATCTTAGCTACCGTGAGAATGATGAGTAATACTTTGTGGTTGGGGTGGTGTATCAACCCGGGGATGATATGCAGAAAGTAGCTGGTTGGCTTCTTTGGTATTCTATAGAGTGTGGTATCAGAGATCTCTAATACATTTTAAGGGACATTCTAAGCACAGTGGTTATGATGTTCGGAATATCCTGGCACTGTTCCCTGTTAATGGGACAAGCTGTTTTACAATGGTTTGCCTTCTTACATGGATCAGCTTGCCGCCTGATCTCCTCTAAATCAGGGATTGTGACAATGGCTCCTGAAGTCAGATGCCGGTCCTGCTATTCATTCATTGGCTGACAGCATCAGCTTGGCCGTTTGATTCTGTACTTTGGAATTTGCACAAATTGACATTAGCCAACCCAGAACTCTAGGTCCGGGCTGGCTGATGAAAGCCACAGTGATACTTCCAGGGTTGGAGCTGCACATTGGACAGCAAAGAGACTAAACTCAGCGTTTCAAAGCAAAATGCTGCACATACCGACTCCAGTCAACATGACCATTTAAGTGCTTCCTCACTAAAAACTTTACTTCTTCACTCATTTTCTTGGACCTTTCCATTTGGTGTTATCACACACAGCACAATTACGCCGAACACATTCAAAGGCTCTCACAGAAAAGCACTGGATTCAGTGGTTCACCATGCAGAGCACTGGACTGGCAGAGTGTGGTGATTGAGAAGCAATGGACCGAGATCAAGAAGTCTGATGTTCTTAGAGTAGACTGAGTGGATGGCAAGCAGATACTGCAGATACCCTCCACATTTTAAGAGGGGACAAATTTAAGAAATAAATATATTTATTTCACCCTTAGAGCTTTCCTTTAACCTAGAAATGAACATCTGGCTCCTGATAGTTTTTCAGTATGATCCAGATAAGTGACACTGTAGGCACCAGCATGGTTAACTGTATTTGATAGGCTTCAACCTTAGTCAATGAGAGCTTTATGTAAGCTGAGCTGCTGGAATGGCTGTCCTGTCTTATCATTTCCCTCCTTACTTCTTAGCATGGTTTTGAAATACCACACACTGTGGCGTAACTACCGCGGTGCACGTGGTGGCTGGTTGATCAGCAGGAGGGGATTGTGCAGCGATCCCCCTCCTGCCAGTCACTATATGTAGGTGACTAAGTGGACCGTGGACTGACAGGAAGTGTTCACTGAGAGCAACGAGAACTTCCTGTCAAAAGGTGGGGGGCTGGAGGGTGGGAGAGACACATGGAGGGACTGGTGTGGAATGAGACAAATGGAGGGGATGGGTGGATGGGGGAGAGACACACGGAGGGGCTGGGGGGAGAATGAGATACGTGGAGGAACTGAGGGAGAATGAGACACGATGAGGGGCTAAGGGGGAAGAATGAGAAACATGGAGGGACTGGGAGGGGAAATAAGACAAATGGGGAGCCCAAGGGCAATCTTTGCATAGGGGTCCGGTGATTTTTAGATATGGCTCTGACTACACAGATAATAAGCGGATAGTGAATTGCTGTCGATTGGAGTCATGTCAGCAGCTCAACTGACCTTGATCTTTCATTGGTTTTGTTGCATACAGACACTGTACACTTCTAATCAGGAATAATATTCAAGAAAAGTGGAGGTAAGGCCTGGGGGTGGAGTTATGCTACATAAAGGTACAAAAATTATTTAAAAATTATTGCAAATAAATACTTTTTTTGTTGCCTACTAAAATCTATATTTACATAAAGTAAATAACTTTCAGAAACATTGTTCAATGCACATGTACTGTATATGTTTGCAGTGTTCTCTGTACAAAATCTACATTACAATACTTTTACATCATCATAAAATAAATTTTTATTCATTTATAGGCCAATCCTAAAAACGATCTAACGAACAGCTTTGCAAATGACTAAGACGTCATAATATCATGCTGCTACAAAGGCTGTGTTAACTCTTTTATAAGAACATATGCTTGCATTGCTGATGTGCATTCCTAAAATGAACTATACTGTACATGAGCTAAAGAATAATAGTTTTATACTACAAATAGATTCTCTATTTTACAAACTCTGTTTCAGCTCATCATGTCTACAACCCTGTAAAGAAAAAGAAGAAAAACTACCACAACAAGAGGACATAGTCTTAAATTAGAGGGACAAAGGTTTAAAAATAATATCAGGAAGTATTACTTTACTGAGAGGGTAGTGGATGCATGGAATAGCCTTCCAGCTGAAGTGGTAGAGGTTAACACAGTGAGGGAGTTTAAGCATGCGTGGGATTGGCATAAGGCTATCCTAGACTTAAGATAAGGCCAGGCACTAATTCAAAGTTTTTGGAAATACTGGGCAGACTAGATGGGCCGAATGGTTCTTATCCGCCGTCACATTCTATGTTTCTATGTAAAGAGCATTCAAGTATTTGATGCCATGATGCCAACCAACAGTCCTGGGTTTGGCAGGACAGTCCTGGTTTCGGGTCTGTGTCCTGCCATCCTAGGTTTGTTCCCTGGATTCCCACATCCAGTAAAACTAGGGAATTGCTCTTAGTATGCGCAGTAACGGAGCCTCATCAGACACACTCACGCTGAGCAAGCTATACTCAGGGCACTCATCCCACGGGCAGAACAGGATGACACTAGTAAGTGCAGTGACATTAGGGAATTACTCTTAGTATGGGCAGTGAAGGAGCATTAATAGACACACTCACGCTGAGCAAGCTATACTCAGGGCACTCATCCCACGGGCAGAACAGGATGACACTAGTAAGTGCAGTGACATTAGGGAATTACTCTTAGTATGGGCAGTGAAGGAGCATTAATAGACACACTCACGCTGAGCAAGCTATACTCAGGGCACTCATCCCACGGGCAGAACAGGATGACACTAGTAAGTGCAGTGACATTAGGGAATTACTCTTAGTATGGGCAGTGAAGGAGCATTAATAGACACACTCACACTGAGCAAGCTATACTCAGGGCATTCATGCCACAGGAAGAACCAGGCTCGTCTTCAGATATTATTCTGGGGGGAGGATAGAGCAATGTCATCATGTGAAGGCACTCTCGCTCTTGGACTTCATTTAAATAAAATGAGAGGCAAATTCAAGGATAGCACGTACTTCCTCTTGCCCTATACTGAGGATGCCCGTAGACACATATGAAGTGTCAGATGGACTGTTCAGTGTGATGTCCAATCAGCCTAACATGCATTCGTACCAGACTCATATGATCCTTTCAGGTGGGCCTACCCCTTTGGGGGCCATTGGGTTTCACCTGTGCCACAAGCTAAACCACTGGCAAGCCCTTAAAGGGCTCACCGACCCCTGTCCTGGCTTTATTACTCACAGTGGTGGAAGGTATGGAATGCACACTTATCACAGAATATAGAGAAAGAATCAGATGAGTAGGGACACACAGTTGAATGTATGCGAACTAGAGCACATATGATGCACTTTGTCAAACCTCATGCTGAAGATAAAAATAGATATACAGCGCGGCAAGGTCAGTAGAATCGTCCTTGTGGATCTAGAAGGAGATATTTCTTTAATGTCGCTGGAAGTGGAAGCTGTGGAACGACTTGGTGACAATCCGTTCGCAATATTGCTCGGATTGCACATCGGGTCAGGTGCAGGAGTGACCTAGGAGAGTTGCTGCACACTTCAAAAAGACCTTCATAGAATTTCTGGTGCCTCTGTAACAAACAGGAAGGTGCAGACATGTTTCAGAAAGCTTATTGTATTGTAGTGATATTACACAATCATACCTCCCACGTTTCCTTTTTTCGGAGGAACAGTCCCTATTATGGACCTAAATCCATCTGCCCCTCTTTTCAAGGAGCTCTATATTGCTGGTGTACATGAGTGTATAACAGAGCTCCACAACCATAATGCTTACAGTAATGTGTCTAAAGGAATACTGCAGGCACTGTAACTGCTTTATACTTCCCTTCCCTAACATTCTCTCACATACTCTCTACATACTCTTCCAACACTCTCTCACATACTCTATGCATACTCTTCCAACACTCTCTCACATACTCTCTACATACTCTGTCTTCTAACATTCTCTCACATAATTATCTTATTATCTTATTAATGGGCCCATTGTATTTTCTTTGATACATCTGCAGGATTATTTAATTAGTCAGAGCTCTCAGGAAAGTGGGTTTAAAATTTTAGACTATAATAGCGGACCTGTAAGCATAGCTGAGTTGGAGATTTTTTTTCAAATTCAGCTATTTTTGCCTTAAAATTAAACCTCACTTTGAATTGCCAACAATTCTCACATTACTAAATAACCGTGATAATGTCTTTGTATTCCCAACAAAAAAAAAAAGGAAAAAATTACTTAGAGAATGTAGCGCTTATGGAATAGGTAAATAAATTATCACCTTTTAGTATTTCATTGGAAGATAGGTTCTTATTTAGATGTCGAATAGGCAGGTATCTATAAAAGATAACCAAACATAGTGTAGATGGTATACAACTATACAATCATATATATATAGTATTTTCCACTCACAAACAGAGAGCTATGGACCTAGCTCTAGTTTGAATCGCTTCTAGGTCCGTATAGGCGACCCACCCCTGCTTTGGATATATGTCTTGTCCTACAGGGAAATAAATATACCAAAAATAGCGTAGCACAGTCGGTGGTAGTTAAAATGAGAATACCATTCCCAAATGGGTACTTACAAACAGAGAGTCTAAATTGACTCAGTTCTTGAGCAATGTGCAGGTTAGGGACTGCACTCCCAAATGTAGAATGATGGATGGAGAACCAAATATAAAAAAAAATTAAAAAGAACAAATTTATTGATACAATATATAAATTCAGCTCATCGATCCAGTTGAGGAAGCCATGCTTATGTGGTGAAACGCGTTCCGGTTTTTGGACATTGTTACGATTTTATTTTATATATTGTTTGTAAGTACCCATTTGAGAATGGTATTCTCATTTTAACTACCACCGACTGTGCTACGCTATTTTTGGTATATTTATTTCCCTGTAGGACAAGACATATATCCCAAGCAGGGGTGGGTCGCCTATATGGACCTAGAAGCGATTCAAACCAGAGCTAGGTCCATAGCTCTCGGTTTGTGAGTGAAAAATACTATATATATATATACATATATATGATTGTATAGTTGTATACCATCTACACTATGTTTGGTTATCTTTTATAGATACCTGCCTATTCGACATCTAAATAAGAACCTATCTTCCAATGAAATACTAAAAGGTGATAATTTGTTTACCTATTCCATAAGCGCTACATTCTCTAAGGAATTTTTTCCTTTTTTTTTTTTGTTGGGAATTACTGGTGACATTGAAGGACTCACAAGAATGTTGAGCAGCTAATTTATTTGATATCTCTGTATATACGTTTGTACAATCTATTGTGAAAAAAGCGCTAGTCCTTATCTTTATTTAATGTCTTTGTATTGATGGACAGCACTGCATTATGTACAGGGTATGTGCCGCAGGATTCCTCATTGCTTTTAAGGAACATAAACCATTTTAGAGCAGGTTGACCTCTAAGCTAGGGTCCACCAGGCACTGCTCTCATTTCTGAACAGCTAGGAGACAACTGGGGACTCTTGACACTCATGCTTTCCTAAGTTACCTTTTGCAGAAACTCACACATTTTTTTTAATAGAAAGTATTTGTCATGTATTGCCAGATTAATTACCTCATATACATCATCTGGAATAGCTTTCCTCCATTTTGACGTTGCTGTGATGTGTTCATAAGCATTGGCCATAACTTCAACCGCTTTTGGGTAGCCGCAGCACTCTTGTATGACCTGCCGGTATAGTGGCCGTTATATGGTAGTCCGTTATCATTTATGCACATGAGATTTATAAATATATATTTTGGTAAACGTCAAAGTAAAATTTTTTATTGTATCTCATATCTCCATGGCTATTATTGTTAGTTTATTCTCCATATTATACTGAACAGGTGTTCAATAAATTGCACAGTAGATCTGTGCCATCACAATATGGGCTTGTTAATTTATGGCCTGGTCATCACAAGGGTTTAATGCCCAAGGGAAACTATAGTAGGATCTGTAGTTAATCTAAATTAAGTTGTTACGGTGCCAAGAGGACCTCGGGAGTACTCTAACCTTACGGGGTTAAACCATTCTCAAACAGTTTAACCCCAAAGTTTGCCACGAGCGCACAGGCAGCATTTTTCTTCTGAATCTCAGTTTAAGGAAGTGCGAACGGGCAAGGGCACCGCTGATTGGCTGAGAGCGATCAGCTGACGCTTTTAGCCAATAAGTGACTCCCCATTTATAAAAGTGGCTTGAAAAAAAACATGCCTTTTTCAAGCCAGTTTTATGAACGAGTAGTCACTGATTGGCTGAGAGTGTCAGTTGCACCTGCCCGGCGGCACCCTGCACTTCCTGAAGCTTTCAGAAGCTGGATGCCTCCTGGGGGACCTGAGATTGGCGCTTGAGGCAAACTTCAGGGTTAAAATCAATGGAGAATGGTTTAACCATCTATAGTAAAGTGCATCTGGGGGCCCTCCTGGCACCATAACAACTTAACTTAGATGACGGAGTGTTGGACTCGGCTCCCTTACTTGTTGTACACTGCCCGAATGTACACAACCCCTGACCCAATACAATCTGTGCAATATCCTAAACATATAGATACATGTATCTGGGGAAACAACAATCACATTAAAGAGGTTACCCTATTAGAAAACAATACATTGCACAGAACTGTCTTTTTAGACCTGGAAGTACTCTAATAATATAAGATTTGCTACCTCCAGTTTTCTCTCACTAGTTATTTCCCCATATTCTTCCATTTGTGTCTCTAGCAATTATCTCTTCCTAGCAAAGACTGGAGTGCAATATCTTCTGATTCAAATTACTGATTACAAATGTATGATCCCAGCATGTAACTATCACCTTTCCTTTTCACCTTGTGAAACTGCGGAGGATAAATTCTTGCTGCTCCGTGATTTAACAGTAACTGATAGCAGATCTCTGGTTGTGCAGCTGCCCGGACAGAAGTTACTTTTAAGACGTATTGCTGTGGTGCACATCCGTTAACATCCATGACATTGGCCTTAGCACCGGCTTCCAGCATCATATGCATAAGAACATGGTCACAATTCCAAGCTGCTTTATGGAGTGGAGCTTTATAATCTTCATCCCGAGAATTGACCTCAGCACCATAATCCAGTAACATCCTACAGATCACGTGGTGCCGGGTGCTGTATTTCTGTTCCTTTATATTAAGTGTCCAGTAAGCAGCAGTGGCCAGAGGTGTTTCCAGACTTGCATTAACACTGTCCACGTATGCACCCTGATTGACATAAAATGCCACGAGCTCAGGGACTCCGATACGGCAAGCAGTATGCAAAGGCGATTCTTCCATTTGATTGTTGGTTGGCAAGTTTATATTTGCGCCTCAAAAAAATAAATAAATTATAATTAGACAAAATAAAGGACACCTCGTATGGTTATAACATTTTGTCTATATTATTGTTAAAGGAACACTCGAAAAACTTTAACTACTACATTGTGCTGTTGTGGTTATGGTACCAGGAGTGCCCTGCTGCATCACCAAGAGGTAAGTAGTCAAACCATATTAACGTGATTTGAGTTCTTTCCTTCGATCCGCCAGGGCCAGCTCCCCGCCTCCTCACAGGCGCAAGCTCTCTTCACCAAACTAAGCACTGTGACGCACGGCTTAGCTCATTGGCTGAGAGTGATCAGCTGATGTTCTAAGCCAAAGAGCTTGCCCTTGGATTAGTAAAGATGACCGAAGCGTCTAGTAGAAGCTTCCAACTCTCACGTACGACTACGAGGAGGCAGGGAGTGGTGTCTAGTGGACTCTAGGTAAGAAGTGAAACCATTAGTAGTTTGACTACTTCCACTAGGGATGCACCAGGGCAATCCTGGTATCGTAACCATTCCAACGTACTGTAGTGGTTATGGTGCTATAGTGTTCCTTTAATATTTTGCAAAATTTATAAACTTTATCAATAACCCAATTTTTCAATATGGACTATGTGCATCCAGTACGTTACTGCTCATGTCTAATGGTGCTTCCGTTTAGAAATGTTTTATATTTGATGCTATGTGATGAGATGTACTTATTAAATTAAAGGTTTAATACTCTAATTGAAAAATACTTATATACATTTAGTTTTAAATGTATGTTCTCCTGTTTTTAGATAACTAGGTCCCTCATTTCAAATTAAAAACCTATTAAGCTTACCTTTATTCTGGGGCAGGAGACTCTTCTCTCTGTCGATCTCCTCCCCTAATTCCGAGAAGTTATCAGTACTGTTGACTTGTATCCAATGAGTTGTTTCTCACAGAGAAACTTTGGGATACACCGTGCAATCTCCATGAGAGAATCCATTGCTTGTCTATGAGAAACATTCACTTGTGAGACAGAACATCCCCCTAGCTGTCTGTGTGACAAGCAGATAGCCACAAGGTTTTACTAAGATTTCTCTCTGCACTTCTATAAAATAAGCCTGTAGAGACAGGGGCATTACTCCTAAAGCTCTTTAGGGGACTGAAATGTTCATTCAAGAGAAACTCTGCTAGACATTTGTCTATTTTGGCTTAAAGGGACAGTATAGTCACCTGAACAACTTTAGCTTAATGAAGCAGTTTTGGTGTATAGAACATGCCCCTGCAGCCTCACTGCTCAATTCTCTGCCATTTAGGAGTTAAATCCCTTTGTTTATGAACCCTAGTCACACCTCCCTGCATGTGACTTGCAAAGCCTTCTATAAACACTTCCTGTAAAGAGAGCCCTATTTAGGCTTTCTTTATTGCAAGTTCTGTTTAATTAAGATTTTCTTATCCCCTGCTATGTTAATAGCTTGCTAGACCCTGCAAGAGCCTCCTGTATGTGATTAAAGTTCAATTTAGAGATTGTGATACAATTATTTAAGGTAAATTACATCTGTTTGAAAGTGAAACTAGTTTTTTTTTTCATGCAGGCTCTGTCAATCATAGCCAGGGGAGGTGTGGCTAGGGCTGCATAAACAGAAACAAAGTGATTTAACTCCTAAATGACAGTGAATTGAGCAGTGAAATTGCAGGGGAATGATCTATACACTAAAACTGCTTTATTTAGCTGAAGTAATTTAGGTGACTATATTGTTCCTTTAATATTGGAAATTCACTTTGAATTCTCAGCAATGTGCACTTTAATCCTGTCACTGTTATATGGCATTGTTGTCAAAATGGAGACAGTCAAGCTGAATGTAGTTTTTTTACAGCCAACCTTTTTCAGGTTAAACTAAACCAAAACTGTGACTGATGTTTAACTTTAAATTTCATTTGCAAACTGTTAACAAAAAGAAAAAACACAAAAGCTAAACTTTTTTTTATTTTTATTAGTTATATAGAATGCGACAAACTATTAATTGATAGTGATGTCGCGAACGTGAATTTTTCGGTTTGCGAACGCGAACTTCCGCAAATGTTCGCGAACCCGGCGAACCGCCATAGACTTCAATGGGCAGGCGAATTTTAAAATCCACAGGGACTCTTACTGGTTGGGGGGGGGGGAGGAGACCTACTGGCGGCGGGTGGGGGCCATAAAGATAATGAGGGGGGGGACCTACTGTCCCCCCCCCGGCCCCCACCCCTGAGCGGTCGGTGGGGGCCCTAATAACAATATGGAGGGACCTATTGTCCCCCCCGGCCCCCACCCCTGAGCGGTGGGTGGGGGCCCTAAAATGAAAAATAAGGGGGGGACCTATTGTCCCCCCCCTGCCCCCACCCCTGAGCGGTGGGTGGGGGCCCTAAAATGAAACATAAGGGGGGACCTATTGTCCCCCCCGCCCCCACCCCTGCGCGGCGGGTGGGGGCCATATTGATAATGAGGAGGGGACCTACTGCCCCCCCCCCCGGCCCCCACCCCTGCACCCTGGGCGGCGGGTGGGTGCCATAAAGATAATGAGGGGGGGACCTACTGTTCTCCCCCCCCGGCCCCCACCCCTGGGCGGCGGGTGCGGGCCATAAAGATAATGAGGGGGGGGACCTACTGTCCTCCCACCCCCCGGCCCCCACCCCTGGGCGGCGGGTGGGGGCCATAAAGATAATGAGGGGGGGGACCTACTGTCCTCCCCCCCAAGCCCCCACCCCTGGGCTGCGGGTGGGGGCCCTAAGTAAATTCCCCCCCCAAGGTGACTAGGGGTCCCCAAGCCCCTAGTCACCCCCCCCCCAAATAAAAAGTCCCTACCTACCCCCCTCACCCTAAAAAATAGTGAGGGGGGAATAAAATAACTATTTTAAAAATAACTAACCTGTAAAAAAGGCCAAATAAAAAACCATCATAACCGTTGAATTGAAAATAAAATAAAAATCCCGAGCGCAAAAAAATAATCCATCTTCACCCATGGAGGGCTCCTCGCAGACTGAGCTCTGCATGGCGGGGGAAGGCTTATAAAGACTTGCCCCGCCCTGCAATTAGGCAAAGAACACTCTGATTGGTGGGTTTAAGCCAATCAGAGTGCTCTTTGTCATTTTACACAGCGTGGGAAAATTCAAAAGAACTTTCCCACGCTGTGTAAAATGACACAGAGCACTGTGATTGGATGGCTTGAAATCCATCCAATCACAGTGCTCTGTGTCATTTTACACAGCATGGGAAAATTGAACTTTCCCACGCTGTGTAAAATGACACAGAGCACTGTGATTGGATGGATTTCAAGCCATCCAATCACAGTGCTCTGTGTCATTTTACACAGCGTGGGAAAGTTCTTTGGAATTTTCCCACGCTGTGTAAATGACAAAGAGCACTCTGATTGGATGGATTTCTGCCATCCAATCATAGTTTGTGTCATACACAGCGGGAAAGTTCTTTTGAATTTTCCCCACGCTGTAAAAATGATAAAGAGCACTCTGATTGGCTTAAACCCACCACAGAGTGTTCTTAGCTTTGCAGGGCGGGCAAGGTTTATAAGCCTTCCCCAAGGAGCTCAGTCTGCGCGGAGCCCTCCATGGGTGAAGATGGATTATTTTTTTGCGCTCGGGTTTTTTCTTTTTCATCTGTTTTTTTTTTTGCGCTCAGGATTTTTATTTTATTTTCAATTCGACGGTTATGATGTTTTTTTCTTTGGCCTTTTTTGGGGCTGAAAAATGAAGATTTGAGAAAAAAGAAGACGTCGAATGGTAAGTTTACTTTTATTTTACAGGTTAGTTATTTTATTTCCCCCTCACTATTTTTTAGGGTGAGGGGGGTAGGTAGGGACTTTTTATTTGGGGGGGGTGACTAGGGGCTTGGGGACCCCTAGTCACCTTGGGGGGGGAATTTACTTAGGGCCCCCACCCGCAGCCCAGGGGTGGGGGCCTGGGGGGGGAGGACAGTAGGTCCCCCCCCCTCATTATCTTTGTGGCCCCCACCCGCCGCCCAGGGGTGGGGGCCGGGGGGGGAGGACAGTAGGTCCCCCCCCCATTATCTTTATGGCCCCCACCAGCCGCGCAGGGGTGGGGGCGGGGGGGGGGCATTAGGTCCCCCCCTCATTATCAATATGGCCCCCACCCGCCGCTCAGTTCGCCGGGAACTATTCGCCAGCGAACCGTTCGGGACATCACTATTAATTAATAGTTTTGATTATTACAGTTTTGCAAACAGCTAATTTGTGTTTTTCATAATCTTTTAATATAAAGCTTTCAAGCTGAAGCTGAAATCCAAATGGGAAGCGGTTGGTGTCTGCGTGTGACTTCATCAGAAATCTGTTGAAAAGTTCTCTTTGATGTCAAAGTTTCTTGACCCATTAACCTAAGTTCTTGAATGGTGTGGGGCCACCACATTTATACATTAAAGGGACACCATAGTCACCCAGACCACTTTGTCTCTTTGAAGTGGTCTGGGAGCACTGTCCCTGTCCCCTTAACCTTGGGGGGGGAATTTACTTAGGGCCCCCACCCGCAGCCCAGGGGTGGGGGCCTGGGGGGGGAGGACAGTAGGTCCCCCCCCTCATTATCTTTGTGGCCCCCACCCGCCGCCCAGGGGTGGGGGCCGGGGGGGGAGGACAGTAGGTCCCCCCCCCATTATCTTTATGGCCCCCAACCGCCGCCCAGGGGTGGGGGCCGGGGGGGGCAGTAGGTCCCCCCCTCATTATCAATTTGGCCCCCACCCGCCGCGCAGGGGTGGGGGCCAGTAGGTTCCCCCCCCATTATCAATATGGCCCCCACCCGCCGCGCGGGGGTGGGGGCAGTAGGTCCCCCCCCTCATTATCAATATGGCCCCCACCCGCCGCGCAGGGGTGGGGGCCGGGGGGGCAGTAGGTCCCCCCCTCATTATCAATATGGCCCCCACCAGCCGCGCAGGGGTGGGGGCGGGGGGGGGGCATTAGGTCCCCCCCTCATTATCAATATGGCCCCCACCCGCCGCTCAGTTCGCCGGGAACTATTCGCCAGCGAACCGTTCGGGACATCACTATTAATTAATAGTTTTGATTATTACAGTTTTGCAAACAGCTAATTTGTGTTTTTCATAATCTTTTAATATAAAGCTTTCAAGCTGAAGCTGAAATCCAAATGGGAAGCGGTTGGTGTCTGCGTGTGACTTCATCAGAAATCTGTTGAAAAGTTCTCTTTGATGTCAAAGTTTCTTGACCCATTAACCTAAGTTCTTGAATGGTGTGGGGCCACCACATTTATACATTAAAGGGACACCATAGTCACCCAGACCACTTTGTCTCTTTGAAGTGGTCTGGGAGCACTGTCCCTGTCCCCTTAACCCTGCATGTGAAAACATTGTAGACTTAGAGAAACTGCAATATTTACATTGCAGGGTTAAGACAGCCTCCAGTGCTTGTCTTCTAGACAGCCACGTCCTGCTGATTTCGGTTTGAGGTGCGTACTGTTAGCCATTTAGCCACTGCCACAATAACTTGGAATCACTAATTGACATTTGTGGTATTTTGGGTAGTACTCGTTTTATACAATACATTATGCGTCATTATGGCATTTTAAAATTGCAAATAATGCAAACAACGTCTTGGCATTACATGACTGAGGAAAGTACAATTATTATTTTTTGAACATTTCTATTTTCTTAATTACTCAGTGGAGCTGTAACCAGGTGTGATATACCGTATGACGATTCGGGTAGTTTCGGGGGTTATGTCAGCTATGCGAGGCGTATCGCTTTAGGGGGTTGTTCTGGGTAGGTATCACATAAATGTGGTGGTGAGCATGAATGTTTGCGAGAGGGAACAATACTTGTCACTACCTGTAAAGTGGCATTGCATTTCTTCATGTAGGTGGGCTACGAGAGGTGTTTAGTGCCTTCAACTGTAGCTGCTCGTGACAGGTCTGTCTTGGTAAGTGTTACTTCTTAACCGTGAGGTGGCGTGGGTTTTGGGGGGGTTATCTCCAATCTGTAACAATGTGAGCTATTAATCGTACATGGGCTGGGTACCTCAGAGTCCTATTCTAGTCTACTTAACCCTTTCCTGCTACAACATGTAAAACAGCAATATAAACATTAAGAAAAACAAAAATAAATTTGAGCTAGAGTTAAACTTTAGGTCGAGTCTTGGCTGGCCTCTATGACTTTGTGTCGGATGAGTTCGTGGGCTCCATGTGGGCCTGCTTGTGAGTCAAGTCCCTGTTGAGGAGAGGTTCTCTACCCTTGGTACGAGAGGAACAACATTGTCAGGGTTCCATGACCTCGCTGTGGCACCTCCAGGTGCCCTGGGGTCGGGTGCTGTTATTCCTAAAGCGGTGTAGAATTTAGGAGTTTCTGCCAGTGTTCGGTGTGTGGACAATTCCGTTCCGGGTTACCAGTAAGATACCCTGAGTCCCCCAGCGGTAAGGCACTCCCTGAGACCGGAGGTGAGTCATGATGGGAACCAGAGTTCTGCGCCACTGTAGTGTTGCCTGGTCAGATCCTGCAAAAAATTCAGTGGGGTTTTGCCCTGTACAGCCACCATGATGCAAGCTTTATCTTTTGCGGTTGTGCACCAGTAATCACATCCCTCATTCCTGAGTTAGAGGGTTTAACCATGCTGGCTAGTCGAAAAGTGCAATCCAGGGTAATCTTTTTGGCCACTGCTGGTGACAGTATGGCGGCTAACAGACTCCTAGTATAGTGTGGAAGCTATTCTGTTCATACCTCCACTGGAATGCCTCGGATTTTTATATTGTTGCGCCTGATTTGGTCTTCAAGTGCCACCAGTCACTGTGACATGGTGTGATGGTGAGTATGGAGTTGTTGTACTTGGCCTTCCAGGTTATTCACCGTTGTTTGGACATACAGTATGTCTACCTCTATTGCCCTTATGCGGTCAGTGTTAGCTTGGATCTCCGTGCGTACAAGTGCTGCCATCATTTTATGGAGGTCTGCTAGGAGCAGTTTGAGGTCCCCTTTAGTGGTTGGTGTTGAGCTATCTGCTTGCTGTAGGCTTTGAATTTGCTCTGTTAGGGACATTTGTTCTGTTGTGGAAATAAAATATGGACATATACACATATATCTTTGTAGCTAGTAAAATGTCTATTTACCCATCACACTGAAATCAGTAGATATTCACGCATATTTAGACAAAATGGCTGCTAGAAGTTTCTAACCCCTCCCTTCTTATAAACTCGATTAACTACCTCGTGTAACAAGATGGCGCTGAGATCTGGGGAGGACCCTCATGGTCTCAGTGACATCACCTCTAGTAGGCAGAGCACTAAGACAACTACTTAACACCTAACCAATTAATACCTTATTATTTCATGTTATCTCTGACAATGCTTATGATGTAATTTTGCTTTAAAAGGGACTTGCCGTCCCCTCTGAATAAACATTCCTCAAGTTATTCAACTACCTGAAACTTGTGTCTGGTGTGAATTACTTCAGGGAGCATGCACGCATTGTTTCTTTAATTTGGCCAGGGGCAGATACACAAGAATAATCAATCGATTGAGTTGATTTCCATTTCAGTTCGGGTTCAGGTTCCTGGCTTTCCACTCCTGGAGGTGGCGCTGTCATAGTGTTGTCCACCTCAGCCAGTGTGGTCTTTGAGGTACTGGGCCTCTGAAGCATGGCCCTGATGTCTCTGTCGGGCTTTTGTGTCCAGCGTTTCATGGCTGGGGTGTCGGGCAGCGGGGACAACCAGGATGGCTCTGGTGTGCTCTGGTTGTGTGCCCCAATGAGGCTGTCAATGAGGCCTTTAGGCTTCGTGGTGTCAGCTGGTGGTAGGCCCCAGCTGTGCGCGCTGTTTGTGTTGTCTCGGGGTGTACTGAAAGGGCATCGATCGATGCGGGAAGGTGCCCTGCTTTCAGTTGTTGGGGTTGCAGGGCTGGATGGAGTGCTAAACGAGAGATATTTGGAGATTTTCAGTAGCCCCATGAAGAGCTCATAGAAATGGCATCTGCTCAAGTTCGTGCTTAGCTCCCCCCACCCCACCCTCCAAGAGTTGTTTTTTTGTTAAATGGACACTGTAGGCACATCTTTCAATATTGATTCGAATTTTCAAACTGAAACAAAATATGTTTTGACCTCAATTCTCACAATTCGAAAAACAATTTAAAATTCAGCTGAGTGAATTAGGAAGACCCAAAAATGTTTGCTGTGCACAAATCTAAAGTCAGGATTGGTAAATGCATACTAGTTCATGAATATGTGTGCGTTTTTTGGTGAGAAAAGCACTGCTTCCTTCCAAAGAGGTCTAAAGATGGCTTTCCTATAGAGCAAGTAAAGGTTTTAGAGACACTGAAACAAAGTATTTATTTACGTATATGGATGCATTGCTAAAGAATAGAGATAGAGCCTGTAATACATGCAAGCTTTATCTATATATAATGACACAGTTTGCCTTTAATATTTAGCAAAAAGTCTTGACACAATTTGAATTTGTGGTTGGAACTTGCAACAGTTGCTAAATTCAGGCTAAAAAAGCCAAGTAAGAAGAAAAAAAACCCAGAGCTACACACTGTTTAGTGAGTGGATCAATACCATAAAGACTGTCTTCAAAACATCAAATATGCGTTTATTGTATCTTACCACTCCATACCAGCTCCTTGGCACAATCGATGGATTCTCTGGTCGTGCAGTAATGTAATGGCGCCAGTCCGCTCACTGAGAAACTGTTAAGCTTTGCTTTATGGCCAGCAAGAATCTTGATACAATCTATATTGCCAACTTCACATGCCACATGTAAGGGTGTCTTCCCATTGGGTTGACTGTTGATGGAGGCATGGTGCTGCAGCAATACTAATATACTCTCCAGGTATCCCATCATAACGGCAATGTGCAACCCAGTTGCCCATGATGATGTCAGTTTATAACTGGGCAACCAATAACCTGGAAAATAAATGCTTATTAGAGATAGTTACAGGAGCGATTATGCTGCACTGAATACTTTGATATGAAATAGTATAGTATAAAGTAAGGTTACTGGTCAGTGTAATGATGTAATGCTCTGTTATTGCCATCTGTAATGGTGTAATGTAACTATGTAACTAATGCAATGATATAATGCTCTGCTACTGCCCAGTGTAATTATATAATGCTATGTTACTGCCCAGTGTAATGATATAATACTGTGTTACTTCCCAGTGTAATTATATAATTCTCTGTTACTGCCCAGTGTAATGATATAATACTCTGTTACTGCCCAGTGTGATGACATAATGCTCTGTTACTGCCCAGTGTAGTTAAATAATACTTTGTTACTGCCCAGTGTGATGATATAATACTCTGTTACTACACAGTGTAATATTATAATACTCCGTTACTGCCCAGTGTAATGATATAAAACTCTGTTTCTGCCCAGTGTGATGACATAATACTCTGTTACTGCCCAGTGTAGTTATATAATACTCTGTTACTGTCCGGTGTAGTTATATAATACTCTGTTACTGCCCGGTGTAACGATATAAAACTCTCCTATTGCCCAGTGTCATGGTATAATGCTCTGTTACTACCCAGTGTAATGATCTTATACTCTGTTACTGCCCAGTGTAATTATATATAATACTCTGTTACTGCCCAGTGTCATATTATAATACTTTGTTACTGCCCAGTGTAAAGATATAATACTCTGTTACTGCCAAGTGTAATGATCTAATAATCTGTTACTGCCCAGTGTAGTTATATAATACTTTGTTACTTCCCAGTGTAATTATATAATACTCTGTTACTGCCCAGTGTAATTATATAATGCTATATTACTGCCCAGTGTAATGATATAATACTCTGTTACTTCCCAGTGTAATTATATAATACTCTGTTACTGCCCAGTGTAATGATATAATACTCTGTTACTGCCCAGTGTAGTTATATAATACTTTGTTATTGCTCAGTGTGATGATATAATACGCTGTTACTTCCCAGTGTAATTATATAATACTCTGTTACTGCCCAGTGTAATGATATAATACTCTGTTAGTGCCCAGTGTGATGACATAATGCTCTGTTACTGCCCAGTGTAGTTAAATAATACTTTGTTACTGCCCAGTGTGATGATATAATACTCTGTTACTACACAGTGTAATATTATAATACTCTGTTACTGCCCAGTGTAATGATATAAAACTCTGTTTCTGCCTAGTGTGATGACATAATACTCTGTTACTGCCCAGTGTAGTTATATAATACTCTGTTACTGCCCGGTGTAGTTATATAATGCTCTGTTACTGCCCGGTGTAACGATATAAAACTCTGCTATTGCCCAGTGTAATATTATAATACTTTGTTACTGCCCAGTGTAATGATCTAATACTCTGTTACTGCCCGGTGTAATTATATAATACTCTGTTACTGCCCGGTGTAGTTATATAATACTCTGTTACTGCCCAGTGTAATTATATAATGCTCTATTACTGCCCAGTGTGATGACATAATGCTCTGTTACTACACAGTATAATATTATAATACTCTGTTACTGCCCAGTGGAATGATATAAAACTCTGTTATTGCCCAGTGTGAGGACATAATACTCTGTTACTGCCCGGTGTAACAATATAAAACTCTGTTACTGCCCAGTGTGATGACATAATGCTCTGTTACTGCCCAGTGTAGTTATTTAATATTCTGTTACTGCCCAGATTAGTTATTTAATATTCTGGTACTGCCCAATATAATAATAACAGCAATAATACTCCCATTAATGTGTCTTTAAACTACAATAAGTGTGTTTAGAAATCAGTCTGGGTAAATAAGATTCATTGTTCTTGCTCTCACTTAATTTTAGTTCCATAAATTGTTATCAGTACGGTCACCAAAAATTCCTCAGAACAGCCCCGCATCTGGTCACAACACCACTCACACCCCTAAAATTAAAATGTCTCTGTTTGTCCATTCCATCAAAAATGTTAGGAGGTGTGCACGTATATGTGGGTCTGAGAGATCAATCAAAGCCTTCATAGGAAGTTTTGATAAATATCTGTGCAGGATTAACCCCTTAGGGACCAAGGCCCTTTTGAGATGCGACATGTTTGTGACCAATGCCTATTTGAAAATGTTATCATGCATTCATTCTACCACAATGTCACCCTTTCTGTTTTAGTGCACCCGTACATATTACATATAACTTTTAATTTTGATACCCTATATGTATGCATAATACAATATTAAATATAAATAAATTGTAAAAAACAAAAAAACAAAAAACTAAACATTTCTTTCTCAGTTTTACATTTAATAATTCCTGCACAAAACATGCACCTAAAAAATGAAACTCTGAATAGATTCACTAATTCGTCCTGGTTGTTAAAATGCCCAATAGGTCTAGGATTTCAATAAATTTGTAGACATTTTAAATATATTGTAAAATTTGGCATGCTGAGATTACAATTTTTATAGTAGTCACAGAATCCAAAACTGCTATACAAAAGTATATAATTGTAGAAAATACATCCCGCCGGCTATGTAACTGAGAGCATTTTGACACTTTTAATTTAATCATTTCATGATGAACTTCTGTAAAATCTGCCAATTACATTTAGGAATGTTTTTGTATTTTTCACATGCTTTTTATTCTATGGAAATTCACAGACACGTCTGTGGTCAAACTACTGTAAAGGACTCATATTTGCTTTCTGCTACTATTCTTGTGGACGATAACCCACATGTATTACTTTGCCTAATCCTAATCCTACTCGTCATCCAACTAATTATCAAGCTGAAACGCTACACATACAGATTGTTATCACCATAACCACTTCTAAAAGTGCTCATGGTGATTAGAGCAACCCTTTAACACTTTTAGGTATCAATTCACTTGTACGTAATGTATAAAGAGATGTATATTTGTCTACCATGGAAGTATTAGTTATTTGTTTAATAACCATCTGCTTTTAATTGACACAGACCAGACGTGTTTAGAAAGTTATGTTTACTCAGATCAGTCAAATGTATTATGTGTTTTGTATATCTATATTTACAGTGAACAGTGGTGAAAGGAATATTTTGTTTTGATTCCAATTCACTCCAAAATCCACATGTTGGTAATATTTTTTCAAATTGCCAATATTTCCACTATAGAAATTTTGAAACAAGTTGTGCAATTTCTTTTAAGTTCATAATGTTTTACTGTTTAGGGGATAAATCTCTTAGTGTTTTTGATGGGAGGCTCATAACCATCAGATTTCATGATACACATTATGTAATACTGAAATCAATGATGTCGTTAAAGTCACATTGTAACGTGTCCAATAGAAAACGACTCAAATCAATAGAACTGTGAAAAGGGGCATATAATTGTGAGAAACCCACAAGACTCCCTTGAGAAAACGAGAAAACCTGTATCATCATGCCCTGTCAATCAACCACCTATCACCCACTGTGCACATAAAATTGAAAAGCAAAAAATCTGATGAGTGCCTTAAAGTTTAATGTCTAATTATAACAAAGTTATTTTTAATATAAATACATTTGTACATGCATAGAAGTCAGGGGAGAGTGGGGAAATTTGAAGTTACACGTTTGATCATACCTGGTTTGTAGGATGCCAGAACTAAATTCTCATCTTCAACTTCAAATACGGTATCCACATCTATTTTGCCTTGTTCTAAGATGTTTTCCAATGTTACAAAGTCATTCGATTTCAAAGCCTGAAGGAACCTTTTCTTTAGTGTATGGTTAGACACAGAGCGACAACTCACGTCCTTGTCCATCTCTTCTCATGTCTTGAACAAGCAACAACAAATTCTTAAAGCACATGTCTGCTAACCTATCGCATTAACTCTGCAATGCCAAAGACATGGGCAAGTCTGCGTAACTTTATAACTGAGCTTGGAAGACCATGTCTATTTATACACAGAAAGTACTAATTATAGGAACGGCACTATCTTGTCAATCAATTGAGAAAAGTGTTAAAAAGAATATTACTTGGGATCTTTTATTATGAAACAATCATAAAATAACCTTTCAAAGGAAGGTAGTGTAGGAGAATCCACCGACCTGTTAGGGTTCTTCCTTAAGGTGTAAATTGTTAGTAATTCAAAGTAAATTAAAAATTAATTTAGATATTATTATTATTATTATTATTATTTATATAGCGCCAACAGATTCCGCAGTGCTGTACAATGGGATATAAGGCTAAAATAGCTGAAGTGGAAAAATTCTCCAATACAGATACTGTATGTATTGTATTCAGTTCTGCCATTTCAGCCTAAAATATAAAAAAAAATATTTGGATTCACTTTGAATCCCCAAAAGTTCATAGTTTTGTAAATAACACTGGAAGAATCAATATAATGTAATTAAGAGAAAGTATCTATGACATATTAAATTACACTTTTTTATTTTCATTCTTTTCCAGGGATATGGGAAAGACATTGGTCATTGGTAAATAGGAGGCCGCTATATGTTAAAAAGTAAAAAAAAAGTGCTAAAATGATTATTTCTCAGATTGTTTCCCACTATCTTGTTCTGAGTATTTATCAGAAGATATGCATGCAAATAGTGTAGTACAATCAGCATATACACAATGTCAATGGCAAGGAGAAACGATTCTGCTTCACGTTATCAGAATTTATAAGAATGTAATAACTCCATTTACCCCTACAAAACTTCTATAACTTTCAAAATTCTTTTGTACCAATGTTATTGTGGTGAGCGCAAACAAAACAAAACTTCCCACAATACAAATACAAAAATTACTGTTTATGCTTCATTTTCATATCTCAAGCTAGACTTTGGGAAGACCTTTCTGGGCAAAGAAACGCGATAAATCATATTTTCTTTTGTTTATGAAATTGCACAAATATATATACATATATATATATATATATATATAGAGAGAGAGAGAGAGAGAGAGAGAGAGAGGGGGGTGGGGGGGATGCATCATTCTAATGCATATCTCTAGACCGAGAGGGATTGTGTCCTCTTTTACAGCTTTCTATTATAGAGTACACTTTCCCACATGCATGACCTTGATAAACTTAATTCTTAGAAAGAAATATGAATGATATCCATTCCACTGTCCTTTCTCGCCTTGACTTCTATAATCCGCTTCTCAGTGGTCTTACGTGCAAAATTGTTAAAAACCCACTTCTTCATAAAAGCGTATCAATTAAACTGTTAATAGCTCCTGACTGATTCCTCTTCTGCAACTGTCACTAGTCTAATACTATCCTTACCTTTTTTGTGTCATTTTACCCCACTCCCTGTAGCATGTAAGCTCATTGAGCAGGACCCTCAACCCCTCTGTTCCTGTGTGTCCAACTTGTCTGGTTACAACTACATGTCTGTTCGTCCACCCATTGTAAAGCGCTGCGGAATTTGATGGCGCTATATAAATAACATAATAATAATAATGTCACGTTACATGCTAAATACTATAGGTTGTATGATATCTTCTATCACCTTATAGCTTTAATGAGGGTTTTTTATGAATGGACTGTCATGCACTGTACAGGTTTATGGGATATGCAGAGGTTTTGACGCACAATAGCCACTGCAGAAGCTACATATCATGAAGCAAATGGATGAACTTCATACACAAGTACAAATGAAAAGTTGCACATTAGTAAGGGCAGAGGCATTGTGCAGATGCAGGGGAACTAATCTCCCTCTGACCCAAAGCAATCTTAGTTTTCTGAAGTAGTTTTGGTGTGTATGCAGCGTATGTATAAGTAGAGGCAGTGTTTGTTTGTAGAGCTCTACATGTTTATAGTCCAGATGTGTATTCGTATGTAGTATTAATGCGTGAATGCAGGTGTGTATTTGTGTGCAGTGCTGGGATACAGCAGTGGTTTTGTATTCAGCGTGTGGATGATTAGTATTTTTGCAGAGTGTCAATGCATTTGCACTGCAGGAATGTATTTGTAATGTACGTGTGAATTCAGATGCATATGTGTATGTAATATTAATTTGCGTAAATGCTGAATTTTATTGACTATTTGTGTAGAGTGTGTGAGTGTATGCATGAAAGTAATTTTAAGACATACTACCGTGTGCATGCAGGATTGTATGTTACGGCATGTGTTGTTGTATTTGAGCAGTATGTGTAATTTGCGTAAATGCAGAATTTTATTGACTATTTGTGTAGAGTGTGTGAGTGTATGCATGAAAGTAATTTTAAGACATACTACCGTGTGCATGCAGGATTGTATGTTACGGCATGTGTTGTTGTATTTGAGCAGTATGTGTAATTTGCGTAAATGCAGAATTTTATTGACTATTTGTGTAGAGTGTGTGAGTGTATGCATGAAAGTAATTTTAAGACATGCTACTGTGTGTATGCAGGATTGTATGTTACGGCATGTGTTGTTGTATTTGAGCAGCATGTGTGCTGGGTTGTGTTGTCAGTATGTTACTTTTATCTCCCCAGTCTCTTACAATCCACCTCTAATTTTCTACCCTACCCTTACCTCTTGTGTCACTATACTCTACTCCTTCTAGCATATAATAGCATATACCCAGGACATAAGTAAAATATTTTATAAATAAATAATAATAAATAATATAAGCTCATTGAGCAATCCCTCTGTTCCTGTGTGTCCAACTTGTCCGGTTACAAATACGTGTCTTTTAGTCCACCCATTGTACAGCGCTGTTGAACCTGTTGGCGCTTTATAAATATTAATAATAATAAAATAATTGTCCTAAATACAAGTACAGTGCACAATTGTCTGTTTAAGACAAAAACTGGCTATATATAAATCATTCTCAAGGCACTTAGAATGTTGTTGTCTGCTTGATTCCCGATACTTGACTGGGGTCAGAAGGCAAAGTCATTTGTCAGATGTTTGCAACTCGATAGTAAGGCTGAGTCACACATAGGTACCGCAGTAAAAAAAAAGTAGCTGTTCTTCAGATGTCAATGCAGATATCAGAATTTCAGTCATATTATTATTTATTATATAGCGCCAGGAAATTCCATAGCGCTGTACAATGGGTCATAGAGGTAAATGCCATTTTTTCTTTAAATGCAGATATCAGAATTTAAGTCATAAAGGTAAATGCATTTAAAGAAAACACTTAATGTTCCACCAAAGTGAAAATGTCTGCTGTTTTTGTTTAGTTTTTTGCTGCATAATGACATTTTTGAAGAATAAATACTAGTAATAATTAGCAAAAAAATGTGTATGAATTATGCTATTACTGTGCTATTATTATTTTTTCCTTAATATCTCCTATGGGGATGAGGAAGATAGTGGGCAACACCAAACCTACCAGCTCTGTTTATTAAACGTTACACCTCAGTCCAGTTTTAGAGAATATGAGTTCCAATACCTGGTAAACACAGATCAAACTATTTTATTTCATTTTTATTTAGTCAACACTTGCCCAATGTTTGCTTGCTCAGTAAGTTCCCTAACTTGTTATATTTATTGCGCTAACTCATATTTTGGATTGTTTTCTGAGAATTTTTATAGAATCAGAGGAAAGCATCAAAATCAATTAAATAATATATCACGAATAAGGTTATTATAGGCAATATAATTTATAGAGTAAGCGCCCCAGATTAATAACCAAAAGTTTCCTAACTTATTTGTACAATGCTGGAGTCATTCTGAAATTGTCTGCAGATTCATTTTCAGGTGATTTTTAAACTAGTCAAATCCATGGCTCATTTGAATTTATATTAGATCAATTCCTAGGAGTTTTAATGCAAAGTTTATACAGATCAGTTCTGGGGCAGATTTACCAATTTGCAATAAACTGAACCCAAATCTGTGGCCCCAATGACACCTTGAATTATTATGCTGCTGTACAATTTGAGCTTCTGAATGATCAGCGGAGAGTTCCTAAGTATAGAAATCCATTTTTTGTGATCATTAATATCAGTAGTACTTTGTTCTATAAAGCTGATATAGCATTTGCATTCATAAAATGCAGTATATATTACTACAAAACTCACACTGAACCACATAATGGAAATTTTCTGTACATTTATATCTAGTATTAGAAAAAAACTTGAATTAATACCTTCCATTCTTCTATTTTGTGAACAAAGGAAGGTCTATAAAAACGCTCTCAGGATTCTCCATTACACTGGTATTTCCAGTCTTAAGCATGTTTGTTGAGCATTTTGTATTTACTTAGCATAAACACATACCAACTGCAAAGCACTGAGCTGCACCCATGGTGAACAGGAAACACATAGCATAATAAATTACATTCTATTTCATTAGGGAAATTAATTATACTGTAAAGGAATCTCACAAGTATTTCTCTTTTCAAACATGAAACCTAAACCACTAAGAAAATTGAGAAGGCACTATACTGACATTGTAGATGTACAGCACTGGACAAACTAACCATGGCAGAACACAGGCTATTCTGGTGCAATGTCCTAAATGTTTCAGATACATTCTGTTGGTTTCCATGACAACTTCTCCTTATGTACCATTTTGCCCTTTAAAAGCATACGTTGTTCCACTGATAAATACAAATTTGTATAGTTGAAGTCCATTTTTTTTCTACTGGCATGACTCAATCAAAAGGTAGGAGATGCAGCATGGTTTACGTAGCACAGGTATGTAAAATATTTCACTATAGAAAACTACACATTAGTTTAACTATTAGAAACATTAAAGAAAACACAAATTTGCACAGTTTCAATCCAATACAATTACACATTTGCACATATTCTAATTCAATGCATTTATTTGCATGCACAAATAAGTATATGGAGAATATCAATATGTTGGTATATTATATTTTTTTCATATATTTTTTATTTTTATTGTTTACAATTTATTTAATTCATGAATTTTTGGATTCTTCCACCTTTTTTCTACATTGAAGAACATCATTTTATTAGACTAAATGATTCATAAAATATTAATTATTATTAAATTAGATTGAAAATCCATTAATTGATTTGCACTGATTCAAATGAACACACTTGCACATTTGCACATATCCCGTTTGAATGTATTTATCTATATGTTTAAATATACATAAGGAGAATACTAATTATAAGATGTGTTGGAGAATTATGCTTTCAGGAGGAGGACTATGGACTTTATTATCATTTACGAAAACCGGAAATGACGCGACGGCATTTGCGGCCGCGTCATACTGAACCTTGGAGTGGCGAAACCGGAAGTTAAGGGCCACTCGCGGAGCATTGTGGACTTGGTAGTTCACAACTACCGGAAATGACGCAACGGAACTCCACATTATGGCAAAGCATCATGGACTTGGTAGTTGGAAAGAACCGGAAGTGACGCGACGGAACTCCGGATGCACCACAAACACTTATTGATTGGATGAAGTAAAAATTGGCGGGAAATTTGAAACCTTTTAAGTTGGACAAACAGAGATTGCTTGTAGCTGACTGAGGAAGCCGTTTTTATCGGCGAAACGCGTTTTAGCTTTTAAAGTGAACCCATACATATTTTTTAGGTCACATATTTTATATCGTATTGCTATTTTACTGTTTTTTATTTTCTAGTTATTTACAGTGTAATTTTATAATTTTATTTTCAAATAAATTTGTTCCCATTTCTTCAATTCATCCATTGTATCCTGTATAACTGATTCAAAGGGAGGGGCAGTGTCACCCCAAAATTTGACACTGGGCAAATATACTTAGAGCCGGTTACCAAGGGCTCTAAATAAGGTGAGCATTTCCATTTTTTCTTATATGGACATCATTTTCTTTCCTGAGATGCTACACTTAGTATGAAATATCTGTGTCTTTTATATATTCGGTGGAGAACATACATATCTTCCTTGTGAGAGAGGGGTCGTGTGGTCTACCCGAAAAGACACAGACGTGCAGAAGTTTAGAGCCTAACACTAGAAAAGGCTCTAATAAATGTGAGTGCATATATTCACTTATTTCACCAATCGCTCCATTTAAAGACATATTACACTATTATCTGTATATGTTCTTTTTTTCTTCCTTTTTATGTACCATACTGCATCAAGATAAACGATAAAGGGTAAGAGTTCCAAAATATAGTGAACACACTTACCTAAGCACTTATATAGCGCTGCACTCACTTTAAGTACTTTAGATTTGGATGGTGGTAACATCATCCAAATCAAAAAGTTTCTTTGTGTTTTGGTGATTGTTTATGTGTGGTGGGTAATTAGGAGTACCCACAGAGTGTATACAGCAGCTGTACTAGATTTCTTTCTATTTATAACACAGAGCGCCATTTATTCCACATTTTTTGTGTATATTCAATTTTATGTAAAATATTATGCCTGTGGATTAATGTTATATAATCATAGACCACTCTGGTGTGATGGTGGTATGATGGAGGTATACCATAGCTCTGTGTTTTGAGCTCTGTTAAATGAGAAAGTATAGTAATGTTTTTGGTGTGTATTACTATTATTGTCATCATTCTTATTATTTTATTTATAAAGAGACAATAATCTCATTACCTCTTGCTAATATACTCAGAAGCGAGATCCATGTGCCGTAGGAAAAACAAATCTCTCTGTACATCCAGGTATACGTTTAAGAGCATTGGCTTAGCGAAGAGCTGTAACATGGTTATTCATTTATGTGAGAAATCAAAGTGACTTAAAAATTAAATTAAAATTTAAGGCCAGAGTAGCTGAACGGAAAGCATAGGTGACTTAGTGAAATTTAGCAGTTTGACTATTTTGACCTTAAAGGGACACTATAATCACCAGAACAACTACAGCTTAATGTAGTTGTTCTGGTGTGTATAGTATGCTCCTGCAGGATTTTCAATGTAAATGCTTTCTTTTCAAAGAAAAGCCAGTGTTTACATTACTGTCTTGGAACACCTCTAGTGGGAGTCATGCAGACTGCACAATGCAGAGCTGGCTCATTAGCTTAGAACGCTGAGTATTCTCAGCTAATGAGCTAAGCCCTGCACCGCTGCGTTTAGCTCGGTGCTGTAGCTTCCAGGTCACAGAAGGAGGTGACCATTGCCTGATGGACCATTGGTATATTGTAAAAACTTTTCTCCATTGGATTGACAAGGCAAATATTATGGCGCTTGGACTGTTCCTTTAATAGAGTGTGAGTTTGACACTCTTACTATACAATGCCATGAGTGATCTCTATCCTATGAGCAAAATACAGACTTCAGCAGTCAGGTGTGTTATATTAAATTAAACATAAGTTCTATTTTTATGGCAGGTAATACATTCATCCCTGTCATTTATGTGTGTCAGTACACACCATTGATAGTATATTTATTGGATATCACTCCTCTTATACAAATAAATGTATTGCTACCTTTGTTGGCACATGCATTGGTTATTGCTGATCACATACTGCTAGTCTCAGAGTTTCTTCACAAAAGATTGACTTTAGGGGAGTAGTCTGATTGTCAAGGAAAATGGCTGAACGGTTTGCTCTCTTTGATCCCTTGACTTCATTTGAGAACAATCTATCAATCAAACCACAAAACATGAATTAGAACTGCAGGTTTTTCATGTATACATTGGAAGTATATGTACGAGACAGTGATTTTTGTTTTTTTTAAGAAAAAAAAATCAGTCTGGAGTGGTCTTATAAATTGCAGAATATACGAAATTGTTAGATTTGATACTCTGTCAATGGTCAATGTAGGGTTGTAACAGGAACATAGTATACTGGTCTCAGGCTTGAGAACTATAACTGAACTTGCTACAGTGTTCGTTCCTTCTCTCTGTCTGCCAAAGATCTGTGTAATAACCTCCAGGCAGGGCCAGACTAGGAATGAAAACAGCCCTGGAAATAATTGCATACCAGCCCAACAGCATACAATTTAAAACACTGCCCTCCCCCACCCCCCACAATTTAATACGCTGCCCCCCTCCTCCGAATTTAATACACTGCCCCTCCTCCCTACTCAATACACTGTCCCCCTTCCCTAATTTAATACACTGCCCTCCCCTTCCCTCCTCCCAATATAATACACTGCCCCCCCTCCTCCCAATTTAATACACTGCCCTCCCCTTCTCTCCTCCCAATTTAATACACTGCCCTCCCCTTCTCTCCTCCCAATTTAATACACTGCCCTCCCCTTCTCTCCTCCCAATTTAATACACTGCCCCCTCCTCCCAATTTACACTGCCCTCCCCTCCCACCTCTAATACACTGCCCTCCCCTTCCCTCCTCCCAATTTAATACACTGCCCCCGTCCTCCCAATTTAATACACTGCCCTCCCCTTCCCTCCTCCCAATTTAATACACTGCCCCCCTCCTCCCAATTTAATACACTGCCCTCCCCTTCCCTCCTCCCAATTTAATAAAACCTGGTTCCTCTGATAGCGCTTGAAGTGGTATGATCCCCACTCAAGGATACAGGTGTAAATATAGATTCTTACTTAAGCCAATTAAAAGTTATATTTTATTTTATCAGCTTTTACAATTTATATGGGGTTGCTCTAATATTCAAAAGCTTTAAATGGAACAGTTTAGACCTATCTGTTCCCTTCCTAGCGTTTTTGCTCTCTTTTTTCGTTTATGTTCTATCAAGGGGTTACCCCCCATTAAATAATAGCAACCTGACATATTCTCTCTGCTCTGTCTCTAACTTAATAAACAAACAGAACCACAATAGTGTACACCGTAAAAAGGAGTGTAAAAAGAAATATGTTAAACCAGCTCATATGCTAAAGAGCAAATTCCGGTTTGCTCAATTCAACGCGCTTGGGTGGTATGATCCCCACCAGGGATATAGCTCCAAACAATCCAACAGCAGCAAAGTTAGGTCCAATAAAAAAGTACTCTTATATTAAAAATTAATAAAAGTAATACAATATATAATAAAATAAAACAGTGACAAAAAGGTTATAAACAATACACTTAACGTGTTACTCCTTGGATAGGCTTTATCAAAAGTGCTTTTGAAAAACAGTTTTGTCAAGGATTACTGAAGTGCTGCACATACCCCTCTGTTTTGACTAATACAACCATGCAGAGAAAACTATTTAAAAAAGAGTAAATTAAGTTCTGCTCGGGCGCTAGGGTTACAGCAAACCTTGCTTCCTGAACAGATAAACGGCTAGGACATCAAGGAAGCCCAGCAGAGGAAATAGATGTGTTGAGCGATTGCTAAAGAGCAGCTCACCCAGTGCTCTGACTCCAGACAGGAGCCCAGCCCACCAGGAAACATCCAGGTGGGTGCCCCCGATATGTTAGCTTTCCCGGAAAATACTTTATTTACCTAAAGGTAGCGCCAGCCCTGCTGACCTTCCTCCCCTTGACACCAGCCAAGGAGGATTGGGCTAAAGGGAACACATGGATTCACTGATGGAATGGTTACATTTTAGCTTTTTTGGGGGGTTCAGAAATGGTTACAGAAAGGGTTTATGAAAGATCAGTTTTTTTGGTTTGAGTAACCCTTTAATCAAAAAGTATAAATATACTTTACACTTTAAATATTTTCACCAATGGCTTGGTGTACACCGGAAGTTCAGGCCAGTTTCCTTATATATTCGTACTGTACTACCCTTGGATGTATTTACTAAATTATGACTTTGAGAAAAACACAAAAATCTTATGTCATTACCTCTGCAAGAAGAAAAGACTTCGCCATCCATCTGTTTCTCTTCCATACTAACCACTCCGTGAACTTTGCATATCATATAAAAATAATAATTAAAATAAAAGAAACGACATATGCCAAAAGAAAAAAAACTGAAATATTGCTGCCAGATACAGAGCTCGTAAAATTATAAACATATGGTAAGTATGAATCAGAACCAATGACTATCGAAGAATCCACGGAGGATTTTATTTACTAAAAATAAAATCCAGTTAACTGAAAGCAGACTTGGCTACATTTAGGTCAGAATAACAAGGTTGAGAATTAATAGAATATTCAGCTGAAATATTTTGAACTCTATATGACAAACCTGATCTTCAATTCATTGTTTTGTGAATTCACTAAAGGAATTAAAGAAACTCTCCAAGCACCATAACTGCTGCAGAAGGCTGTAGTAGTTATGGTGTCATGAGTGCCCTGTCCCCGTGTAAGTATTCACAGCGCTTGCTAACACTTTGACAACTTACCTGGGATCCTCCAGGAATTGCTAGTTTCCCGAAATGTTATGTTCTGTCTTCTAAACCCATGAATAGCCCTCTGGGATGTCAATGAAAAGCATAGGTAGAAACACGTTTCATGCTACATAATAGAGAGGTGTGCAGCAAAGTCCTGTACCCCAGCACCATTTACCCTAGTGGCCTGGCAGAGCACTATACTTCTAATTTTTATAATAGCTGAATCAAAGTACAACGATATTTTAATAGATTAATATATTCATCAAGTTTTGAAAGGAATTTTTTTTTTTAATGAAGTATAAGTAAACCAGTGAGAAAAACTCATCTCTACCTTTAGCATATGACAGAATTCTTCAGCCATATAGACATTTTCTGTGACTTGCTAATAACCTAGGTGCAGAAGGTATTTTATCTTTTAAACATTCATCTTCCAATAAACGTGGCCAGTGTTTTTTGAGGATCTTCTGTATTTGATATGCTTGAGCATTATACTGTGTAATGAAAGAGAAACCATAACTTTCATTAGAAGAATTTAATTTATTTTTATCCATTAAAAATTAATTTATATTCTCATTCTTTACTACATTAATCTCATTATCTAAAAAGGACTGAGAATATCTCTTTTCAATGAATTTCTTCTTTAAAAACGCTGTCTGTTCTAAAAAATGTCCTATCTGTACAGTTTCTCTTAATTCTTGTAAACTGACATTTTCGCACACTTCAAAGCCATTTTGGGTGGTGACCAGTGGTGTATCCTGGTTTTGTGCTGCCCTAGGCAGGACAAAACTCAGGCGCCCCCCTGCCCCCGCGCCACCCCCACCCAACCCTTCCCCCCGCCCCACCTTCTAAATACACACACACAAAGTCAGACACAAACACACACACACACACAGTCAGACACAAACACAGTCAGACACATACACAGACACACACACACACACACAAACACACACAGTCAGACACAAACACACAGACAAACACACACACACAGTCAGACAAACACACATACATACACAGTCAGACACACACACACACACACACACACATACACACACACAGAGTCAGGCACACACAGCCCAGACACACACAACACACACACACAGCCCAGACACACACACAACAACACACACAGCCCAGACACGCACACAGCCCAGACACACACACACAGATCAGGCACACACACACAGCCCAGACACACACACACAACAAACACACACAAACAGACACACACAAACACATACACACACAGCCGACACACCACACCACACACCACACAACACACAGTCAGGCACAAAACACACACACAGTCAGGCACAAACACACACACACATACACAGTCAGACACTAGCACACACACACACAGTCAGACACACACACACACAGTCAGACACACACACACACACACGCCACAGTCAGGACACACACACACACACATACACAGTCAGACACACACACACACACACAGTCAGACACACACACACACACATTAACTTTTTTAATAATCCCCCCCAACCCTCCTGCACCTTTGGGAGTGCTGGGAGGTCTCTCTCCCTGGTGGTCCAGTGGCTGCAGGGCGGGCGGCTGGCGAGGGAGCACCTCCTATGAGCTGACTGCTCAGCTCCCTCGCGCGCCGGCTGCAGAGTGAGGCTGGGAGCCGGAAGATGACGTCATCTTCCGGCTCCCAGGCTGGCGTCATATTCCGCTCCCAGCCTCGCAGCGGCGCGCGAGGAAGCTGAGCAGTCAGCTCAGGGGAAGAGCTCCCTCGCCGGCCGCCCGCCCGCCCGCGCTGCAGCTCGCCCAGAATGTCAGTTAGCCGCGAGGCTAACTAGGCATTTGCCCTGGGCATTTGGGGGGCGGCGTTTTTTGCCGCCCCCTGAAAAATGCCGCCCAAGGCAAATGCCTTGTTTGCCTCGCGGCTAATACGTCCCTGGTGGTGACCACTTTTTACATGGATAAATGAATTAGAATCTGAAGGATTAAATTAAGTTTTGGTGTTTATGACAGATTCCTCAATAAAAATAGTAAGATTTAAAAATTCAACGCTCCTATTGTTTATCTCTGGGGTAAACGCCATAGACTGATCATTATCATTAATAAAAGTGAAAAAGTTTTTCAAATGATCTTCTTATCCTTTCCAAATTATTAAAATGTTGTCTTATGTGCCTTATGTACCGTTGCCATAGCACCAAGTCTGCTCCAAATGGATTCTTGGCCCAGATATTATGTGATTCCCAACTATCCATAAATATATTTGCATAACTTGGTGCAAACTTGGTACCCATGGCTGTACCCTGAACTTGGAGATAAAATTCATCATTAGAAATATTAGTTGAGAGGGCGAGGGGCAGACCGCCGAGCTGGACAGTCACAAGAATGAACAGAGCAGAGTGGAACTGGCCCTGTTTCCCCCCTCTGGACCGGGGGGTGATCCTGGTCCTTGCCCTGGGACACCGACCGCTACAACACAATCAAGGCCCAGTAACGAGACCACCCAGATCGGTGACCTCGGCACCTCGCCCAAAATGGTGGAAGCCAGGTGCGCTAACTGCAGAGGAAAGTAATATTCTTCCCCCACGCTCAAGCCTGACAGCACAGATTTAACTACCGACTGGCCAGAAACCAACAACAAATAGCCACCTGCACGCATTGCAGCACCTCAGCAGGCCAGAAGCCGGCGAAGTGAAGACAGCCGGCATGCAGCAGTAGCTTGAGAAGCACACAGAGGACACTGGCGGAGCAGAGACTCACGTGGACATTTTGCCTATGTGCCCCGCTGAACTAAACCTACACAATATGAGGACTACACAGGCGAGATCCAGCACCAATGATAAATTGACCTCACCAACTGAGCTAGAACACGGCCCCAAGGGCCCTCGAGGTGACCATTTTATATCCCACTGCAAAGCTGCAGTTCTGTCCTTAAATATTTTACTCTTACCAGCCACCTGACAGGATAGAACTGTGGCCTGATGTCTTTATTATTATAAAATTATACAGCTAAAAAATTAGACACCTACAAAATGTTGTGCCCTTAGTTTAACTCAGCTCAACCAGTGAGCCTCTGCTAAGCCTCTGCCAGCCACATCACTTTAAATTGTTTTACCTTATTTTATTTAGTGAAGGTGCCCCAATCATTTCTGCAGCAGGGTCTGGTCTCCCAGTGGTAATAACAGCTCGTACTAAATTACGTCTTCATTAGCCTATTATTATAGCCTGTAATAATGCAAGTCCTTAGCAAGCCATGTCTCAGATCTCACCAATGTGATCTACAACGCTTGGCCATCTCGACATGATATAATACGCATGTATGTAAACACTGGTGCAGCAACTAATTCTTGTTTTACATTTTCAACCAAAAATGTGTGCAGTTTCTCTTGACATACTGTGTTTATACTTGAAGCCTGTAATCTTTTATAATGCAACTTAACTATATGTCATTGTCACACAATGTTTGTTTCCGCTGCACTCCAAAAATAAAGAATATAAAAAAATAAATAAAAAAAATATTAGTTGAAAAACCACCCACGTAATTTATTTACTTACTTGTGGTTGTGGCATACAGCACGTGGGGAGGGCTAGTAGACCACTCAAAACTAGGTTTTTAGAACTTTGCGATAATATAAAAAAGAAAATCATAACACATTCTGTACTCATTCATTGTAATAGTTGTGCTCTTTTTAATTTTGAGAGTTTTTTATGCACCGGTTTGGAGAAGGTGACTCTTGATGAGAGGTGGGATCTGATTACACAATTAAGACAAAGGGAAGGGTTTTGGAATTATAATCTTAAAACCCTAAGCCCAAGAGGACTCAATGTAGACTTTGACATGGTCTGCTTTTTATAAATTATTTTTGAACTTTATATTTTTACTTTTTCATATTTTTTATTTCCATATTTTTTTATTTGGTCCTCATGGTACTTCTTTTTTTCTTCTTTTTTTTGTCTTCTTTCTGATTTAGTATTCCTCACCTCTTTTGTCAGTTTTTAAGTCATTTTCAGTCTCTGCTCATTTTTAAAGAAATCTTTAAGATTTCATATCTACGCTCTCTTTTATATAGTCCTTTTTCTATTTGCTTAATTTATTTTATTATATCATCTAATGTATTGAATTGATAATAAGGTTATTAAAAGAATAGTAATTGCTCTTTTCCATTTTCCTTTTTTTGGTTTAAAGTGACTCTTAATACGCTGGTGGACTCATGGGCATAATGTATATACTTCCGGATCGCCAGCTGAAACGCATAGAGCGATCACAACGAAAAATGAAAACACGTTACCGAGATATTACTCGAAAACGAGGCTTGAGACGCACGAAATCGAGGCTTGAAGCACCAAGTTCTATTTTTGCCTGGACGCATTGTGCCACCGTTCCCAATTCGCTGTAGGCAGTCCGGGACGGCGTTAAAATGGGTATTTAAACACAGAGAAGAAGGAGATCAACTAGCGACACTACCAGATGTCCCTGAGGAAGTCCTAACTTAGGGCAAAATGCGTAGGGCTGGAAATCTACATAGTGACTCATTTATTGTGACTTTTTGTCCATTTTATTGTTTTTCTTTGGATTGCTTGCTGTTATCATCCTGTTTCTGTTCCGGAGGAATTCCTTTTTTTTCTCTGGTTGTGGAAGAACAACACTTTGATCCGCAAGAAAATTTTATCTTTGCTGTAAGTGCCCTACAGTTAAGGGTGTTTTTATTTTGAAATTGGTACACTATGTTTGTATTTCTTCCTCTCTTCCCTATGTACATATGAGATAAGAGAGAAGAATCAAAGGCTACATCGCTTAAAGAAACCCATAAGAGCCTATAATCAAGTTATGTCTTGTTAGTGCAAATAATGCCACCAACGCACAATAGAGTCAATAGTTCTACATTATTGTATATTTTTTCTTTCCTAGATTGTATATTAACAGCCCTGGTGTCTTCATCAACAATGGCTATTCAGTATTTAAAGGATCACTATAGGGTCAGGAATACAAACGTGTATTCCTGACCCTATAGTGTTAAAACCACTATCTAGCCCCCCTGGGCCCCTCATGCCTCCATAAATATAGCAAAATCTTACTGTATTCAAGCCAGAAGCTGTAACTCTGCATGTTGTATGCCTCAGAAAAAAAGCTGTCTGCTGACATCATCCGAAGTGGTAGTCTGATCCAATCACAATGCTTCCCCATAGGATTGGCTGAGACTGACAAAGAGGCAGATCAGGAGCAGAGCCAGCATGATTCAAACACAGCCCTGGACAATCAGCATCTCCTCGTAGAGATTAATTGAATCAATGAATCTCTATGAGGAAGGTTCAGTGTCTGCATGCAGAGGGAGGAGACACTGAATGTTTGGATGAATTTTAGGCAGCCATGACCCAGGAAGGATCTCTAACAGTCATCTGAGGAGTGACCAGTGAAGTTATCACTAGGCGGTAATGTAAACACTGCATTTTCTCTGACAAGACAGTGTTTACAGCAAAAAGCCTGGAGGTAATGATTCTAATCAGAACAAATGCAATAAGCTGTAGTTGTTCTGGTGACTAAAGTGTCCCTTTAAGGGTGGTCATCTCCTCCCTCATTATTTCCATGGAGCACCACTTGCATGTCTTTCAATAGAGCTTTGATGCCAGTCTTAGAGGAGAGGGCTTCATCCCTTTGGATTGTAGAGTGAGGTGGACTGACCCGTATATTTGTTAAAGCTGGTAAGTCTTCCTCCAGGCTGTAGTCCTCCAAAGATGCTGAGGAGTCTGGCGCTTCAATATCGCGGGACCCAGATGGCCTGTAGGTAAGAACTGACCAACTAATCCATTGGGATGAAGTGAAAGCACGGCAGGTGGTACTATAGACATAAAGCGTGAAGTTCATATAAGACAAGTCCATCTCTGATGAGTACTGGCGCCGTCGCCCAGTTCAGCTATTTTTACTTAAATTTGCAATTCTCTTAGCATTCTCCATTTAATGAAAAAGCCTGTTGGATAATTTTTCCAGTTTACCTATTTTAACCTTAAATCTTAAATTCACTTTGAATTCTCACTTTAGTGAATAGCCCTTTTAGTCTCAATAGTCTATATAGTCTGAGTCAAGGTGCATGTAAATGGCTGAAAGATCATGTCATATAATAAAGGTAGGGGTGAGTTCTTTTATTTTTATTTACAATTATACTTAAAATGATTTCCTTTCAAAACTTGAAAGCATTAAACCTTTAAAATAGTTTTGAGGTGTCAGTAGCTGCCTGAATTATAAAGAAAAAATATTAAATAAACAATTTCCACCAACCATGGAGATCTGGGGGGTAAAGACCTTACTTTAGGGGTTTTATCCTCCATAGCTCCACTAGCATGGCTTATGGCAGTAGTTAATGTATGGTGGTTATGAATACTTGATGTGTGCCTTTAACAATGTAAACCAATAATAGATATGGTTGTTGGAGCAGTATGAGAGCCAAATGAAAAACAATAAACTTGCTTATCTCATTTATGCCTTTTTGACCTTCATTCGTTTAAACAAGATTTTGAACAGGTATGTTTTATGTACACAGAAAAGAGATTAGAATTAAAATATTTATAAATAGAAAAGGAAGGTGCTATTATTTTAGAGCAAAGTCTGTCTACTTAATCAGCTTTATTTTTAGATGTGTGATATTTGATATCTTTATGTAAAATTATGCAATGTAGCAAATGTTTTAAGTAAAATAGGAGACCCCAGTACTATCACACACACATACACACTTCCCCTTCAATACAGATCCTAAAAACATTGCAATATCCATCAATGGCACTGGGTGTTTATTGGAAGAATTGGTCTAGAAAGCTTATGCGCACACCTACCTGTCCAATTACTTGTAAAATGCATACTAAAGATGCCATCTATTCTAACAGGCTCCTTCCTAGCTTTCTATAAAGGTGTCAGAGCCTTGGTAACATAGTTACATCTATAGAGCCATTCACAAAACCATACATTTAGTTAGGAATAAACTGATAGCATTGCTGCGTTTTCATAAATTTTCATTTACATTATTTGAGGAATTGAAATTCTTGCAAGCACTGAATTGTATATTAAAATACAGAAGTAAGAATATTCACATAAATACAGATGAAATTTGCCAATTTTAATTAAGAAAATTTCCAATTTTGTAATTGTTATAAAAATTTGTAAGAATTTGTCTAAAATCACAAAAATCAGTATCAGAATCAGGTCACCAAGGCGAGGAAAGAAATCACAAAAAATGTGTTTGCAAGCCTCTGTAACCAGGGCCGGATTAACATAGGGGCTGATGGAGCTGCAGCTCCAGGCCCAGGCCCATGGAATAGGCCCATTGATTTTTTTGATTAAAAAAAAAAAAAAATTTATTTTTTTTTACATTTTTTTTTTCCATACACTACTCTTAGGGATTCCACCTGGCTTTTATTTTATTGGCACAGCCAGTATTTGAGGCTTCCTGGCTGGTGCCAATATTACAGTGATACTGGCAATACAAATGCTGGTATTTTTCTCAGTATAAACCAAGAGATTACTATGCAATACCAGCACTGTGTGTGGAGACAGGCAGGGATAGGAAGTTGCAGCATATCTCTCCCTGCCTATCCATACTCACTGATCTGCAGGGGTGCAGCTACAGAGAGTCCTAGTGTCTCCATGTCTCCCAGTGCCTCAAGTGTCTCAATGTCCCCATGTCTCCAAGCTAGTGTCCCTAGTGTCTGTGGCCCTGGTGTCTCCTTGTCCCCATGTCTCCCAGTGCCCCCATGTCTCAATGTCCCCATGTCCCCCAGCCAGTGTCTCTAGTGTCTGTGTCCCTGGTGTCTGTGTCCCCATGTCTTCAAGTGTCCCCTATTTTCCCAGTGTCCCTATGCGTCCCAGCCAGAGTCCCCTAGTCTCCCAATGTCACTGGTGTCTCCATGTCCCTAGGTCTCCCCGTGTCCCCAGGTCTTCCTGTCTTCCTAGTGACATGGGGACCCTGGGATACATGGGGACACAGGGAGACATGGGGCATTGAGACACTGTGATACATAG